TTAATATTATTTTTAAAAAGACGCAAAACACAGAAAAGGTTACCAGCAAAAGCATGTTCAATTCAGTCCATTCCCCAGAATCTAACACTTCTTTTCCTGATTTTAGTTATGGGCTAATATAATCTTATCTGTCCTTAATTAATCAAGTTTAGTCTTTTTGTGCAGTTAAATTTAAGAATTTACCTTACTGCTACCCTTACTCCCACCTCTTCCTCCTGAATTGGTGAATACATAATTATTATAAATCCACTATGTATCTTTCCAACTTTCCCTAAACCCACATTTTGTGGTGGGGCTATGGGCTTTACCTGTAACACTGATTCTGAACAGTGTTGAAATCTAGCACTAGGTTTGTGTGACTCTCACTGTAAAGTTTGAGTCCTTGTGCTGGGGGCCTGTGCTGGGATTATATTTCCTTCTGCTATTTCATGGGATTGTTGAGAAGGACAAATTATGTAATATACGAAAAGCACCTAGAACCTTATAACTCTTTGCTGGTTGCACCTAGCCATCTGGCATGTTTGTTAGCTTGCTTTTAATTTCATCAATGTGTCTTAATCTACAAATTTTTTTGTATTTCCTAGAGTTTCCAGTCAACCTTTTTTTCTTTTTTTTTTCTGGTCTTTTTGAGACAGGGTCTCCCTGTAGCCCCAGCTGTCCCGGAACTCACTATGTAGACCAGGCTGGCCTTGAACTCACAGAGATCTGCCTGCCTCTGCCTCCCGAGTGCTGGGATTAAAGGCGTGTGCCACCATGCCTGGCTTCCAGTCACCTTTTTTAATTTTTCATTGATTTTGTGTGTGTGTGTGTGTGTGTGTGTATTTCATAGAGAACATCCCAAATAATCTCTATCTTTATACCTGCATCCCAAATGACACCCTCCCAAAGCCCTCCCCCCCTCCACTGGAGCCCATATACTCCTTCATCCCTGTTATTGTCCACTGTGTTGTCAGTGCCCTCAGCCATTCCCCAGTGCAAGTCCATCCACTGAGTCTAGTCAGCCTATCTAGAGTCCCTTGTTTTAGGACTTGTTTAGGAGATCAGCTCTTCCTCATCTATCAGCAAGTAGTTGCCAACATTCCTTTAGATAAGATTGGGGTCTGCTGTTCATTTTCCCAATTCTATGCTGGGCTAATATCTGGGAGTCTCTTGGGCCACCCTGGCCAACAACTCAAAGGAAGGTATCTCTTGTATGGCATTGTTTCTTGTTATGTAGCCTTTAGCTATACACGTGGACTCTTTGTATACTGATCACTTTAATCTTTAGTGTTATACTTTACTTTTGGGTGTTTAAGGCCATACAGTTGGCCCAAATAACCAATTTATTTTTACTCTTAAAGTCATTTGAGGTGTTCTTCAGGGGTTACATGGGCTTTGGAGGAGCCCCTGGCTCCTTTCTTTAACCAGTTCCATCTATGTGAAGATATGTCAAAGGTCCTGCTCAACCATGGTTGGCTTCACTTGGAAGCATGGAGGAAATGATTCCTCTGTGTTGACCCTCCTGTTTGTAGACTGGATACTGGTTCAAGTCCATCTGGTAGAGTCTCCATGGCCTCCCAGAACAAGAGGACAGGTGACCCACCACAATTACAGGACATTTTGAGAGATGCTCCATAGTCCCCTGAAACTTAGTCTACCTTGGAGGGAAGGAGCAAAAACTGTCCTTTAAGTATCTCTGAGCAGATTAGTATAGGCCTCAAAGTATGGCTATTAAACATCCAAGAAAGTTAGTTCTACCAGTCTGGTACTTTTAATTACCATGTGCTATGTAGATAAACCTTGGGCAAAAACCAAATGCTCTAAACCTTGATTAGACATATATTTTATTGCTTGAACTAGTTGTGTGTATAATTTGTCAGTAGGTTGTTGGACTAATATGGTTCTCTCTTTTTTTAAAACTAGCTAGGCATTATCTCTCTCACTGTTTAACCCTTCCACCATGGTTTCCCCATTTAAAGTGCCCCTGTTTTTCCCATTTCTCCCTTAATAATACCCTTCTATGGTCCCACCTTCTCTTGAGCTCCTTCTTTCCCTTTATCCCCAAGGTTCCTTGTATAACCCTCCCTCTCCTCTCCCATTTAAATAACCCCATTTTTATCCATATCTCCCTTAGTAACACCTGCTTCCTACTGTTCTTCTCTCCCAGATTCCTCTTTCCCTGGTTCCTTTTCATTATCTTGCTTCCTACAGTTTTGTCTGAATACATACTCATAAGGATTTGGTGCTAGGATCCACATATGAGGGAAAACATACATTGTTTTTCTGAGTCCGTGTTACTTATTGTAACAGTTTCTAGTTTCATCCATTTACCTGCAAATTTCATGATTTTATCTTTTATCTTCCCAGATTCCTCTTTCCCTGGTTCCTTTTCATTATCTTGCTTCCTACAGTTTTGTCTGAATACATACTCATAAGGATTTGGTGCTAGGATCCACATATGAGGGAAAACATACATTGTTTTTCTGAGTCCGTGTTACTTATTGTAACAGTTTCTAGTTTCATCCATTTACCTGCAAATTTCATGATTTTATCTTTTATCTTTCTCTACTGCTGAGTAGAACTCCATCATATTAAAAAAAAAAAAAAAGAAATGTCTCAGCTGGACATGGTGTTGCATACCTTTAATCCTAGCATTCAGGAAGCAGAGGCAGGCAGATCTCTGTGAGATCCAGGCCAGGCTGGTCTACATAGGGAGTTCTAGGCCATCTAGGGCTACATGGAGATCGTGTCTGAAAAAAGAAAAGCCGGGCATGGTGGTGCACACCTGTAGTCCCAGCACTCGGGAGGCAGAGGCAGAGGCAGGCAGATGAGTTCAAGGACAGCTGGGGCTACAGGGAGACCCTAGGAAGGAAGGAAGGAAGGAAGGAAGGAAGGAAGGAAGGAAGGAAGGAAGGAAGGAAGGAAGGAAGGAAGGAAGGAAGGAAGGAAGGAAGGAAGGAAGGAAGGAAGGAAGGAAGGAAGGAAGGAAGGAAGGAAGGAAGGAAGGAAGGAAGGAAGGAAGGAAGAGAGGAAGAGAGATCTCTCTCTATCTGTGTCCTAAAGTATCCAGCAATCTTGATTATGTTCTTTGCTCAGAATTAATTTCCTGGGATTATCCCACTGTGAGCCCTGGTACTCTGCCCCAGTCACTTCCTCAGGCCTCTGCCCTGCCCTTATCTTCATGTCCCTCATCGTTCACTTGTATGCTTGGTTTCTTGGTTTTCTCTCAGTTTTGCTGGAGTATATGAGATGTAAGCCTGTTCCCCTGCAATCCAGCATTCAGTGTGGCTTAGAAACATGTCTTCCCCAGCCTTGTTCCCATGTAGATTGGGTGGTGTTAGTTTCTCCTGTTCTACTCCATTGTGTTGAGCTGTACTTACTGTTGTGATTTTGCTGAAATTCTCCTCCCAATGACAACTTTTCCACTCATACCCTACCTACCTCAGCCCAGTTTTCCCATTGTACTCTCCTGTTACTCTTTGTACCCCTCTCTATATACACGATTTGACAAATGCTGCCTTATTTTTCCTTTAACAATTTCCTGTATTTTGTTTTCTATTTTCTCAGTCAGTACCTCCTGTTAGATATTATTAGCCCCTTGCATTGATTCGTCGGGCTTTCAATTTTTTTAGCCCCCACTACCTGTTAACTGTCATCCGGTTTGGGAAATAGTGGCTACCTGGGTTTTTTTTCTTAATCATATATTTTTTTAAATTTGAGAATTTCATATATACTGTTTATTATGATCATCTCATCTCCATCCTCACTTACCCCCTTCAGCTCCCTCCCAACTTCATATCCTTGTTTTATTTTAATATCCCACTGTGTCCAATTAGTACTGCATGGATGTATATGTGCAGGGGTATAGGGTCATCCGCTGGAGTATGGGCAAGTACTGGTGGTCACACCCCCAGGCTACTTGGTTTTGATGGTCAGCTCCTGATATCTTTCCCACAAAGAGGAAAATTAATAAAGAAGACAAGTAGACCACACATGGTCCTTGGCTTCAGCAGCACTAGGAGACAGAACACTGTGACGTTCACTTATTTTCTCAACTGTTTTTTGGTTCTGTCTTCTGGGATATTTCTTTGAGCATATTTCTAGCTTTTTGTGAAATTTTTATTTAGGCAACAATATTTTCAATTTCTAAGTGCTATTTTTTGTTCTCTGAACTTCCTTTTTATGGCATCCTGTTTGCTTTGTGCATCAAATTGTGCCTCAGATTCCTCTGAGAGTAGTAATGAGGATTTTAGGTTAACATTCTCCTATTTCCTGACTTCACAATTTTTCCTCTGGAGTTGGTTGTTGCTCTTGGCCCTTCCTGATCATACTGGTGATTTTCCTTGGCTGCCTGGCCATCCTTGAGTGTCTGCTTATATTTCAGGTCGGTGGGTGATGTGGATTTCCCCTGGATATAGGTAGGAGGGTTTCAAGGCCTAGCAATCTGCTTTAGGGTCCCTGTAGAGCAAGAAAGCAGAAAGAAAAGGGGGAAGGCAGCTGTGTACCTCCCTCCCCCAAAAGGCTGCTTTCTGGAATACCAGAACCCTCCATTGGTTCTCCCTGAGCAGTTGGTGGTGGTTCTTTGATCTGAGCAAGGGATAGAGTGGGGTCCAGACTGTACTGAATCCCCACTGCCTCCCAGCCCTACCCAGGACCTGGCTAATGCCCTGCTTGACCTCATGCTAAAGATAAAGGAGAGGCCCTCTTGGGGCCTGCATCCCTTTCCCCAGGAGCTAGGGACCGCTGGCCTTGTCTAGGTGTGTGTGTTAGCATGCTTTCACGGTCTTAGGAGATCCACTGCCACGGAGCCTGCCATGTTGCATTTCTTCCTCAGATCTGTCTGCTTCCATCCTAGGTGTGGGCTTGTTGCAGTTTGTTGCAGAGACTGACCCAGAGGGTGGCCTAGGAGGACGGCAGGGTTAGGTCTAGGGCGGCCTTCGTGGATGCTGAGGAGGCCACGCCCTGAGGGACTTGCCTAGCGCTGGGCACATGAGACTGACCTCTGTCCCTGTCGCCCACAGGTGAGAGGCCCTTCGCCTGCAGCTGGCAGGACTGCAACAAGAAGTTCGCGCGCTCCGACGAGCTGGCGCGGCACTACCGCACCCACACGGGTGAGAAGAAGTTCAGCTGCCCCATCTGCGAGAAGCGCTTCATGCGCAGCGACCACCTGACGAAGCACGCGCGGCGCCACGCCAACTTCCACCCGGGCATGCTGCAGCGGCGCGGCGGGGGCTCGCGGACCGGCTCGCTCAGCGACTACAGCCGCTCGGATGCCAGCAGCCCCACCATCAGCCCGGCCAGCTCGCCCTGAGCGCCCGTGGGCAGGACCCACCCAGCGGGCAGGACCGACCCTCCAGGGCCCGCAGCACCACAGCCATGAGCAGCCCTGCCTCCCTCGCCCCGCCCCTGCCTTTTGTAATAGGAAAGCTGAGAGAACTTTAAAGTCCACAGCAAAACACTTTTCTTCACCTCAGGTGTCAGTTTTTAAAAAAACAAAATACAAAAAATATCAAAAAACACCATCCACAAATTGCACAATACAGTTAACCCACAGAATTGAGATTCATTGGTGTTGAACCCCCAACCCCTTTCTCAGGGATGGACATGGTCCATGAGGTCAGTGAGGGCACCCCTTTCTGCCGCCTTACTCTGTACATAGATTTGCACTCTGGAGTTTTCTATGAGGTTGGGAACACACTGGGGCAGAGTTAGGCCAGCTAGTGCTGGTCCCTCAGCCAGCTGGAAACAGTTGTGGTCATTGATATTATGCTTCTGTGGCAGATCCCCAAAGGGGCAAGTCCTGTGTTCCCCCTTTTCCTGACTACCCACTCAGCTGTGGTCCTCTGCCTCATGGCCTAGCTTAGAGCACAGGTGGGTCTGAGGGACAGGTCACTTCAGAGGGATGCCATAAGCCATGCCAGGCCACAGGAGTACTGTGCCTGGGGCACTGGAGAGGGGCATCTGCCCTCAGTGGCCAGCTCTACCTGCCTCACTCTCTGCCTCCAGAAGCCCTTAGAGAACTGGAAGGCCAGATGCAAGCCCTGGGTAGGGAAACCATTGCTGCCAACAACCCAAGGAGGCGGCCTGGGCCCTGCTTGCCCTACAGAAGGCACCTGGGACCCTTCACAGTTGCACCATGTTCTCTGATTAGAAAATAGAACCTGGGAATGCTATTGTAAAACTGCTTCAGAAGTTGGTGGTGTTTCGTCCAGCTCCCAAGCTCTGTGCCCTGCGCCACCATGGAGGCACCTTTGTTTGAAGCAGCAGTCTTCCCCTCTTCAGTCCCCTCTTCAGTCTGTATGTGTGGCCCTGCCTATGGCAGCACTCACATCGCAAGAGACTTTTGGTGGCAAGAGACCGACATCTCTTTAAGTTGGAACATTTCCAGAACAGCACAGCAGATGTTATAGGAAAATACCATTGGCGAATGCAAGAGTTCTGCTTTTGCTGGGGTGGGGGGCGGGGAGGATACCACAGATACTGTGGGAATAGCCTTCTCAGACCCCTGAGTCTCAGGCAGTGCAGACTTAGCAATCTACTGCTTTGAATGGTCGGTCTCTCTCCGCCTTTTCCCTCCTGCTTCTGCTTGCCCTGCCTGGGAGGATCCAAGCTGCATCCAGCCTGCAGGGCCCCAGGGCTGGCCTGCTGGTAGGACAACTGGAGTGGAAGGCAGACCTGTTTCTCCTAGAGCCCAAATCTGGGCTGCATTAGCTTCAGATCCTGGGTCTGGTCAGCAAGACCTTGTTCCTAGTTCCTCTGCAGACCCTTGGAGTGTTCATCTACCCCAGCTCTGTAGAGAACCAGGCATTGCCTCCTCTTCCTCCCAAGAACTGGGGCCTAGGAATACAAGGCCCCAGGACAGAGTATTTGTGTGCGTGTGTGTGTGTGTGTGTGTGTGCACGCGTGCACATGTGTTTTGGGTGGGTGGGCTTGGGGTGGACGTGGGTTATCTTAGCCTCTCATTTTAATGTGGAGGATCAGGATCTGCCCTTGTGACTTAGAGGGCCATAGATGGGCTTCCTGGGCCCAGAGTGCCTTGGTTGCGGCCATTCTGCCTCCGTACCAACCCTTACATGGTGTAGGGTACAACACAGGGAAATCCCAGAGACCGTGCCCAGTTGGGCCTGTAGTTCCTGGCTGTTATGTCATGTGGATCTGGGATACCCCTTTCTAACTACCTGTGTCAGCTGTAAGAGGCTAATGGCATGTGGTGGCTTCTGGTAGCACAGTAAGTGCTGAGTTGGGCTTTGGCATTATTGCTGCTGTGGGTGGGCATGATGGGCAGGGTTGGTCCCTGCCTCCCTCCATCCAGTGCAAAGCTGGCAGCTCTGCTGACTTTGGGCCCTGTGACAGCTCTGCTTGCATTTGGTCTGGAGAATACAGTGGAATATGTGGTCGGGACTTTTGACTGAAGAGAACCCTGGGTACTTGGGGTATGGTGGTCTTATGCCCAGTTCCAAAGTGTAGTCCCTCCCAAAGTCATTTGTGTGAGACAGAGAAAGCCACACTCTGAACACATTTCATGTCTCAGGAATTCACATTCCAGGTTCAGGAATTTTATTCCAAAGTCCTTTGGTGCACCCACATCCACAGTTCTGAAGGCAGAGAGAGGCAGCTGGTGTGCCCCAGAGGCCAGCAAAGCGCTCTCTCTAGGAGGAGCCGAGTGTCTCCTTGTGATCTGTTCACAGTATCACAGAAGGAGGCTTTCTAACTCTGCAACTGTCTGCACATAGGAAGGGTAAAAAGGACTCTAAACCCAGTCATCTTGGAATAAAAGAAAGAGCTGGTTTGTTTTAGAGCGGGTTGGGGGGTGGGGGAGGGAAAGTGGGTGTAGGCTGTTTCCAAAGAGAGCACTTAATTTAATTTTTCCTCTAAATGACCCAGGGCTGTTCCATCTGATAGATGGAAGGGTAATATTGCCTTAAAACAGAAATATGCAGGCGGTGGCTATTTTTGGCAAATGAACATTTCTTCATTCCCAAAGCAGTTCTTTTAATGGCAGGGTGCGGTCCTTCAGCATGAGGCTAGGGCACCCCTGGTGGACCCTGCCCCCATCATCAGAGGCTTCAGTTCATGTCATTGAGGGGTGGGAGGAAGGGAGGAATATGACTTGGGTTCAGTTCCAGTGGTTCTCCTTAGGGTCCTGTCTCATAAATGAGGGATACCTTCCAAGATGCAGAATGTCTTCCCAGCCTGGGTCTACTGCAGGGCCTTTCATTCTTGTGCTTATGGCCATACTTGCTGGTTTCGGTGTGACTGAGGAACCCATAGAGCTCCTAAAAAGAGCACTGAAAAGTCCAAACCTTCATTTTGGGGCCACAGAGGCAGAAATTCCACAATGAAAAGTGCCTGAGTGAAGGGGGAGTATCCTACAAAAATGTCTAAAGTGACTCTGGACTCAGCCTTAGGGGGCTGGAGTTCAGCTCATGTCACAAACAAGAAAGCCCCTCTTTGCATCAGCCATATTAGGGGATCATTTGTTCCCCCAAATGCCTACTGAATTCTTCAGCCATATAGAAGGTCACAGCCCTTTGCACAGAGGACCTTTGGTTCTCTCCTGATAGGTGCTATGTAAGGATGGGCAGTGATACCCTTGATGGGAGTGTGGTCCTGAGGGGCCCCACCTGTATACCATGCCATACCCCCCATCCATAGAACGTGAGATGCAAGGTCCCCACCTCTAGCTCATCCCATCTCGACCTTGTTCTGAGGCCAGCATTGGGACAGATGGAGGATTCACCACAATACAGCCTCCAGGTGCAAACACTTGCGCCCTGGGGACCCCAGTGGAGGATCATTCAAACATGGGGGAGGCCTAAGGGCAGGTGGTATTCTGTGGTCTCAAGTGAAATGTGGCAGAACAGGGGTCTCCTTTAAAGACTTCTGCCTTCCAACCCTATGTATCCAGAAGACTGATCCTTTTCTTGCCAGAAGCAGGTGCTATGATGGACTGCACAGGGTCACAGCACTTCCTAGGGACCTCATCCCGGACCTCCCCTGGGCAGGGGCACCACCCACCAGGAAGACATAATCTGAGCAATAGCATGGCCTCATTTCTCAGCTCCTGGTTGTGGCTTTGTTTACAAGGCTACCTATTTTGACTTCTGACAGGTGTCACTGATTTCTTTAACCCATTTTTTTTTTTTTTTTTTTTTGTCTTTTTGAGACAGGGTCTCCTTGTAGCTCCAGCTGTCCTGGAACTCACTATGTAGACCAGGCTGGCTTTGAACTCACAAAGATCCGCCTGCCTCTGCCTCCCAAGTGCTGGGATTAAAGGCGTGCGCCACCACACCCGGCTTAACCCATTTTTTAAAAGGTCATTTAGTCAAAGGCAGTGCTGGAAGGTTTATGTGTCAGACATTGTGATCAGTAAGAAATGCTTTGTAGGTCACCCCTATCTTTGGCTATCCAGTTTCCTTATGCAGTTCCTACTGGCCATATCTTCCAAAGCTAGACTCCAGTCGTGGGCTGACTGGTTTTGAAATCATGATGGCCCCAGGAAGAGCCAGGTCCTGTGACTGGTTTTCCTGATTCAGAGTCTTCAAAGGTTTGTCCTGGACACATTCCAGAGAATTTTGTACCAGAACTTGGATGCACAATTCAGCTTACTACTGATACAGGCCTGAACACCACTGAGGGAAAGACCCTTCCTGCCAGCAAACTGGCCTTTACAGTCAGAGGAACGGAACTGGGCAGTACTTGCTGTACTGGGAAGGGTGACCTGCTTGGTTTCTGTTGACCACTTCAGGAGTTACTGAACTTAACCCCGCAGCCATCCTGCCCTGCCCAGCCACCCCCTTCTCACAAAGCTTTAAAACTTTACTACTTTTATTTAGAAACAAACAGGATGGGAGAGAAGATCCCTCCCCCACACTGTCAACATTCCTGGGGGGGGCGGTTTGCGAGGTGGGACTGTCAACATTCCTGGGGAACAGTGAGGCGGGGCAGGAACAGGAAGTCCCTAGGACCACTATGATGGTGCAGTTTTCTTTAGGGGTTCCAAGGCTCTCTTCTCTCTGCTGTTTTCCTAGAGAACATATTGCACTATTACCCATGCTCATTTGAAACCTGAGCATGTGGGTTGCATGCCCTCAGACCAGGTTGCCCCTCAGCACCTACAGTCTGACGAGAGTAAATCCCCTCCCCCCAAGAGAGCAGAGCCACTTCCCTAGAGGCTGGGACCCTTGCCTGGTCATCAGCTTGGTATCCATGACTAAGGGTGCCTGCTTTAGGGTGTCGGTGGGAGACCCTGTTTCCCCATTCACTGGAGAGGCCTAGGGTACCTAGTAAGGTGACCCTGAGGCTTCCTGCTGAGCACCTGTGCATTATGGGGTCAGGGTTCCTGTCACTCTTCCATGGATGGGAATCCCTACTGTGGTTTTGTTGGATATGCCCAGGTGACGACTTCCCATCCAAAGCCATTGTGGAATAGTTTGCCAAAACCCCAAGGCAGAATCCAAGGGTCCAAGACCATTTCCATCAAGTTCACATTTTCCTTTTCCATAGGAACTTTTTTAGAGAAACAAACGTAGCTCCCAACATGCTTCCAAAGGCCGTGTCTCATGTTCCTGGATCACTGCAGTGAAGTATTACAGTTGTACAGCTCCCAGTCTGGCCTTGGCTTGCTCCCGTCAAACTTTGTATGTATTTTGTAAGGCATAGATTCTATATTGTAATGATGTCCTATGCAAAAGAAAAAAAAACGAAATTGTAAATTTTATTGTTTTAACATGTATGCATGTTTAGTGACGTTTACATTTTGAAATAAAATTTATGATTCATTATTTTATTTGCCTAAACTGATTCCTTTGAAGGGCATGACCTGCAGAGGCTCTGGGAGAGGGGAGCTGAACTGGGGATGAAACTCCAGCAATTGGGATTGACAGAGGGACAGAATCTCACCTGGGACTTCATAGGCCTCCTCCTGGAAGGAAGGCTTGACACAGGTACACCAGGGATAGTGGCTTCTCTAGCAGTCCCGTCCTGCCCTGCCTCCTGGGAGCCATTTCAGCTCATTGCCCATGCTCCTTCCAACTCAGAGAACACGGAGAACAAAGGGAACTGGTGATTTCAGTGTCCCCTAGAGGGTATACTGCTTAAATGTTTTTTGTTAGACACTGACAGATACTTCAGATAATCAACTCATGAACAGAAAAAGGGTTCCTTTGGCATGGTATCAGAGGGTCCACCTTATAGCAAGAACACGTGGTAGAGCAAAGCCATTCGCATTGTGGCCATGAAGTGGAAGAGGAGAGAGAGTTCCCACTGTGTCCTCGAAGGGCACACCCCTGAAGACTTCCCGGTAAGCCCCATCTCTTAAAAGTTTCTACCACCTCCCAATAGCACCAGCCTGGGGGGACACTGGAGGACACTTCAGATTCAAACTAAGTACCCCATAATTATAGAAAATGTCTGCTTCTAGCCACTGAAGTCCCTGCAGTTGGTCACAGGCCCCACTCCAAAAGGAGGAACAAGAGGTCTGGGGAACTAGATGATATATAGTAATAGCCAAGGCCAAGTTCCCTGTGGTCATTAACTGCCCTTGACTTCTCCTGAGGCTGTCAGCAGGAACCAGCAGGGGCAGGTGGGTGACAAAGTCTGCCCCCCGGCCTGAGCCGACAGTAGATTGAAGGAAAAAGGTACAGGTAAAGTTCGCATCTTCCACCCTGGGCCAGGAGTGGACCTGGAACTACATCCACACTGCAGGCACTTCACATCCTCACCCATTGTTCACAGAGCAAATGAAAACCACCAAGAAATGTAAAATAGTAATAACAAAGGCATCTCAGTTGCAGATGGGTTTTCCTGAAGCCTTGTACTCTGGCAGGCACTTCCTGGGAGACACTTGCTTTCTCTCTGAGATGACGAGGAAGGTGTATGTGTAGCACCCAAATACCAACACTACACACAAACACTCATCTTGAAGCAAAAGTCAGTTGGAGTCTTGCCCTAGGACAGCACTGTTCGCCTCCTCTGAGACATTCCTTGTTGTGCAGGAACTTCCGTAGATACTGCAGGATGGGTCTGTTTCCATAAATAGTGTGGTGAAAGGATCCCAGATGCTTTAAAAGTATTGACAGGAAAAACAGAGTGCCCATTGCTCATGATGTCAGTGCAGAGGGGAAGGAGGCTGAGTTCCTGCAGAGAGAGCTTTTTTCAAGAGGGGGTAGCATTGACAAGGCCCCAACCTCAAGAACTAGGGATCACCTGAACTTCGAGATGGCCCCAGTAACTAAGAGGAAGAAAACGCATCCTCCAACAAGCAAACAGTAGTATTTACTGATACTTGAAAACTGAATTCTTTAGTATGTGTGACATACATCTTCCTGTCATCCTGGGAGTGAGGTAAAGGAAGGCCCCCTCTGAAGTTGGTGACAGTTTGGTGGAGCCATGTATATCTATGTCCATGTCTGGACTCAGGAGAGATGGAGTCTGTTGTGAAGGTTCACAGTCCACATCTGCCTCCTTAAGAACAGATTTGCTGTGTGACCAGTCCATTTTCTGTTGCCAGGAAACTCCATGCCCCAGAGAGGACAGGCTATGAAGAAAAGAGGTTTGATTTGGCTCAGTCCTGTAGGCTCAGTGTCTCCTGCCCACATCTGGTGACAGCCTTCCTGCTAGCAGTCCTAAGGCAGCACAAGATGACAGGCATGTGCGCCTGTGCGTGCAGTCATGTGCACCTGTCTTCTCTGGCTTCCTTCTTTCTTTTCTTATAAAGCACAATCATTCAACAATGGGGGCTTCACCCTGATGACGTAACCACCTCCCAAAGGCCTTACCTCTGAACTCCAGTGTTGGATTGTTTTCGCCCAGCTAACACCTCACCCTGGTTTTAAACTCCATTGTAAATTTCAGAAAGAATGAACCATATCCAAACCACAGTCAGCCTACAGACAGTGCTGTTAGAGGCATTCAAGCAGATGGTAAAATGTCTCTTGGTCTGTTCCCTGAGTGTTCTGGAGGAGGCTGGTTAGCATGCACCCAGCAGGCTACTGGGCTTTTGGGTAATTCACTGACCCTTGCAAACTCTCCTTTTCCCTGTCGGCCTTTCCATCTGCAGAGGGGTTCAAATTACAGGTTAGGCTATGTGTAATTTGTTCTGAGGGGCACAGATGACTTGGTCTCCCCAATCAAATCTCATATGCAGCATGATAGGACTCTTTATCATGAACGTCACTCTGCTACATGCAAAGCAGTGTGACTGGGTGAACACCCAGCTTCTCCTCACAGTCACACTGTGTCTGCCTAACATCCTGCACCAGGAAGAATGAAGGTCTTTGATTCCACAGCAACAGCACAAAGAATGAGCAGATTTGGACAGCTGGCAGTGCTCTGGAAGGACTAGTGCGGCCAGGAGAAGGCCTGCTCTAAGCCTCCTTTTTATCGTGGGAAGCAGGCTTGGCCATGGCCAGTGGAGATCACTGTGAAGTTCAGTGAGGTGTTAGAGGCCAGGAGCCAAGTCAGGAGAACTGGGCCTGTACCAAGCCTTCAGCCCCTTAGAGGTGGGTGGCCTCTACTCCCATATACTGCTGGGGAAGGTGGACAGCCTTATAGGACTGTCTCAGTGTTGGATGGGGACCAGGACCAACCTGGGATGTGGAGGTTTCCTGGTTCACATTTCAGCATCCTACCTAGATGCTTACGGCAGCAGCCAGCTTTCCACTACTGTCTGTCACGTATCCAGTCACCATGGGTCAGGTATTACTCACTGAGTAGGGTCAGATACTGTTCAGTGAATTGGGCCAGGTACTGTTCACTGAGTAGGGTCAGATGTTTTTCACTGAGTGGGGTCAGCTACTGCTCACAAAGTACCCTCACAGTGGAGTTCTGATTCAGACACACAGAAAAGATGAAGCTCAGAGAGGTAAGATGGCCTCCCTAAGGTCACACAGCTGACAAAAGCCAGGGATTTACTGCCTTAAGCTTTGGGTTAGCTAAAGGGTTCTTATAACCTGGGGTTGTTCCTATCCAGTTGCTGACATCATAGGGCTGTCCCTCCAACACAGAGCTGAAAACTCATCTATTTTCTGGCTGCTTTTTTTCAGGGCCAAAACCCCAACTAGTTGTGGGCCTCCACCTGACAGCCTGCCATGTCTTCCAAGATGAAGCTCTAGTGCCCCTCAGGGACCCAGCCCCAGACAGAGTGGGGTTTAGGGGTTCCTCAGGGCCCTCCATGCAGTTCAGCAACCATAACTCCTCCAGATAGATGTCTCCATCCACCCACTCAGACCCCTGTCTGTGGGGTGCACTGTTTTCCTGTATGTGTGCATTGCTCAATGATCAAGATCTCAGAATATACACCACTTTAAATATTTATCATTTTTCCATGAGAACATTCAGAATCTGTTGCTTGTCCTGGCCCTGCTCTCTGTTCTCAGATGAGATTCTGCAGGGGGCGGGGGGTGTCATGTGGCACTTGTCTTTCTGTGCCTGGCCTATTTCATTTAACATAATCGTCTCTAGTCCCATCTGCATCCTTGATATCAGCAGGCTTCCATATGTATGTGTCCATGGCTGAGTGGCATTCTGTTGTATATATGTGCCACATTTTCCATATCCACTCATCAGTCCATGGACCCTTCAGTCATTTCTATTCATGGCTACTGTGAACAAGGCAGTAATCATAGGAACACTTATGGGAGCACACACAGATCATCATACTGGTCTCATTGCTTTTGGGTGTATCTCCAGGAGACAGACTGCTAGATCACCTCACATGGTAGTTATATTTTTAGTGGCCTGAACCTCTACACTGTTTTCATAATGTCTGTGCTAGTTGGCATTCCCACTGACTGCTCAAAGGAGGAGATGGTCCCCTTTGCACATTGTCCTCACCAATTCTAGTTTTTATCTTTGGGTTTTTTTGCTGTTTTGTTTTGTGAGACAGCATCTATGTAACCTATGTTGGCCTTGGACTTTCAGTTCTCCTACCTCAGCTTCCTGAGTGCCAGGACTACAGGTAGGCACCACCACACCTAGCTGGTTTGGGTTTTCTGATAATGACAGAGCTCATTCTTTACAACTGTCTGGGTCTCAGTGTCCTCCATTCCCAACCTCACCAGAATTAGGTCCTGACTTGTGCATTCTCTAGAAGTACCAGGTGAGAATTCATAGTGTCAAACACAGCTTTCACAATCAACAGGTTCTCCTGCACCCCCAAAAGAACACCAACACAGACACCAGGGAGATTGGTTGTTGGCTGACTGATAATGGTGCTTAAGGAACTGGACACTGGTTACTGTGTGCCTACTTTGATGAACAGAGCTGCTCCTGCCCCTGCGCCTTGTCTGTGTCTTGCTTTTATTTGAAGCACTGACACCTCAGAGGATTCTCCAAGATCAGCTGTTGGGCTGTGGGATCTAATGATATCCCAGTGGCAGGGTGCTTTTGTTCCCCGGCTCAGCAGCATCCTCCCTACCCTGAGTCCTTGAGCTTCCTACCCACACAGATGTACCACAGTAGGAAGAGCAGGTGACAATTTACAGAATCTGAATGATAATGGATATACAAGCTCACATCCAGGATTCAGGAAGGTGATGCCTCTGAGGTAGGGACAAAGGGCCAGGAGAGTCACACTCAGCAATGCCAGCACTGTTGACAGGCTAGTGCTGGAGGGCAGAGGCAGTCAGAACTCATACTTGCCTCAGGTATATTCCTATAGAAGCAGCACGTATTAAATAATA